GTGACTTTCAGAGTAATGTAGATTGGACATTGGAAAAACAGTGATAGCTTAGTGTAGAATGAAGCTAAAGAATTTCTGACCTGCATTGACCATATTTTGTCCTGTCTGTACTTGAGGTGGATAATAAAGTCCAATCATTTGATAAAGACGGAAATTCACAAATCCAAGCATGGCAACATAAAACTCAGCAAATGTCACCTTAATTCAAAACTTTATTTTGATGGAATACCTCTTGTTCCGCATCAATTTTTTACTTAGTTTTCTGTTTTGATGAAGCCACATCACTTCAATCATATGAGAATTTTCTTATGGGATGAACGCAATGAAAAACAGGGAATAAATTTCAAACTCCAGCCGCTATATCCATACCCTTCCCAAAGCGGAATGATTCAATAACTGATTCACTATGAACATACGGTCGCTGTTGAGTGAATTTTGAACCTCCCCCTCCCCCAACTAAAACACTCGAGAAAGAGAAAAAAATAATCTTATGATAATGTTTTGTGCTTATAATATGAATACCAAAAATCACTTCAAACAGTGATGATGCGTTTGAGCATTTTTCATCATACGCTGACATACATAAAAAATTGTATCTTACCATAACTGTGAAGTCAACGTCAGTGACGTGTGGTAATCCACGTTCATGAGGAACTATCCATGTAACCTTCTCTCCGCATATTTCAGCTTGGTAGTATATACCCTGCAAATTGCCAAGGCCATTGAAATCTCTCGAACTCGGAGTAACAAAGAAAAAATAGAATCACTCCAGAAGGTGAATAGGCCAACTAAAAGATTTCACTCACACCTAAAATAATACATGTTATGTAAAGTTGCGATCACACTCGTAGGTGCAACGCAGAAGGGGAGAGATAGCTGTTCTGGCTTTTTTTAAATTCAAACAGAAGACAATATTTTGGAAGATGTCGTCTCTGAAAGGCACACTGATCGACCTTGCGAAGTCGCCAACATTGGCTTGGAACTTTCTTGTTATCGCGCTGTACAGGTAAAATGTTTTACTATGTAGTTTTATAAAGAGCAACATGTTGACGACATCGCGCGTTTTCGCTTTTTTGGTCGCATGGGACAAGAGCTCACATCACATTCTTTTATGTTCTGTAATACATGTATAGAAACATGAATTTCATAAAGTAATTGCAACAGTGCTGAAAATATTGGGATTCTCTGAATATGTAGCAAAAGAACAAGTAAAAAAAGGAGCGGAATGACATTGAGAAAGCTAAGGCCGATGTCAGACTTTGCGAATCGCGCGATTCGCTAGCGTCCGCGGTCGCGTTGCGGTACCAGCCAATTGAGTGATTCACTGGCCGCGACGCGACCGCAGACGCTAGCGAATCGCGCGATTCGCAAAGTCTGACATCGGCCTAAAATATCAACGCTCGCGAAAACTACGTCAATGTGTTCTCATGATTGCTCCGTTAAAAGAAACACATGTATTGGAATCAATAGGGTTTTTACATTCATGGCCACTATAATTCTTATAAGAATTTGGACGGAATAGAACTATAAGGAAGAGTAGATTATTAGGCTGTCTCATAATAAGTTCATCACGTTGTAGATATTGTCGTTAAAATTCTGCGGCCGGGTTCATTTTACATAAAAATTTGGAATAGGAGATTATGTGATGATGAGTAAGATAAGTAATGATAGGAAGAGTGGGAAATTAGTAGATTCGAAAATTAGGAGATAGAACCATTCCGCTGAAGGAATTACATACGTACTGATGAAGCGCTGGAGAGCTGCAGAACACGAAGTAGGATATTTGGATACTAGTAGATTAGGATAGCAAAAATTTAGGATTCCAATAGAAAGACTATACAAATATTTCTTGATCTGGATGTAGACATTTACCTAATAAACAACTATGATTTCATCTTTTCAGCTGGATCTTAATCTTACAAACTTCATCTTCTAATTTTCAAACCGTGGAGGGTGAAAGCGGCTTAGGGAGATTTTCAAAACCACCTACTTACCTTGATGGATATGAAGGTGTTCTTCAAAGCATGCGCTTCAATCACGTAATGCATAAACTCTGCTGTAAGTCGACGGCAACTGTCAATTAGTCCCTCCTTGAGGATTCGAGTATGAGGAAGAGTTGCGAAGGCAAAGCACAAACACAAAGCATCGTCAAGATCACGAATAGCTGATCCAAAAGTAGGGTATCTGAAAACTAATTCGCTTAAACTGACTATCCAAAATCTCCGTGAAACGTCTGAAGGACAACAACTCACCTTTCTTTAACCATTCTATCCAATTCATACTCTGGCTTGTTTGCGTAGAGTTTCTTCACCTTCGACTCATCCCTCTTTGCTTTGTAATGATTCAACTTCCTCAGGAAAACCTTGAACACTAACGCTTACCAAGAGCTCCTTTATGAGAAAGGGCGAGATACCTTATAATCGCGGAACTTGTTGATTATCGGCTCATGAGCGAGGAAATTTATATCCTTTCGATAATACCACACACGATTCTCTGTGGAGCCTTTGTTGACCTTTTTCTTGTGAGCAGGCTCATGAGGATAAATGCCCTAAAATATGAGCAAATTTCTGGCTTTACCTAATCCTTGAAAAGGAAGGAAGAGATGATAAAAAGAAGAAAATTGGCTGATATACCTTCAATATGCAGAGCCGTCTGAAATCTTTCAGTGATAATTGCAGCTTCTTTAAAGCTCCTCGCCGAGAAATATAATTCACAGCGGCCCCAGCTTCGTGCTAAAGAAAATTTTATAAAGGAAGTCGTGAAGAGAAGGGTTTATGTGCATCATTTACAACAGGAAAGTTCATTGGACCAGCGTTAAATAGAACAAAATCACTACCTTTGGCTTCACTCGGACTTTCATCGTGGGATCTGAAACAATTCCATAACAATTTCATACACGGACAGTTTAAGGCAAACGGAAAACAACGCCAAAAAACAACAAGAAAGTACTCGAACTAAGATAGTCCAATCACGGTAGCTCACATTCTCTCCCAGAATCTCTCCTTCCCTTCCCTGAGGCATAGCCAGAAACCTGTAAGTGGGTCACTCACTTCAATTACTCCCTAAGGACATGAGCGCCCAAGGGTGGCCCCGGCGACGACAGGGGCCACCTCGCAACATCGCGTCAAAATCACGGAAACATTTCTACACGTTTTACACGTTTCCGTTTTAGGACTAAGCTTTTGAAGAGGAGAGGAACTCCGGTGTACGGAAGCAATTTTCGTATTCTCCGGAGTTCGTCCCTGCTGTTTAGGCTTAGTCCTAGATGACTTTTCTCAGAGTGCCCCCCCCCCCGAGCCACATACGCGCCCAGTTTTCATAATAACAAAACTCAAAGTAGCGTGCAACTTACACGTATTAATTCAGAAAAACCGTAGAGGACTTGGAACAGTCGCAGAAGGAACCTCCAAGTTCAAAACAATCGCAGAGAAAAATGGGTGGAGCGATAAGCAAAGGGTGCATGGCGATAGCCGTTGTGGGACCGCACGCAGTTTAGCCTGCATCTCAGTGGTTCTGCGCATCGACTCTGTTAACCATGCTGATACGTAGTGAAAATGGAGCAGATTTCTAATACTTGTGGATTGTGCATTGTGCTTAGCCATATCAGTTTAGTTCGTTCACTGTAAGTTGCGAAGTATTTGCATCAACGCGTTCTTTTTGTATCTTAGTTTTTACGATGATACCGATTGTTGTTACTGCTGAGGAGGTTTTTTAACTGTTTCTGTACATTATATGGAATTGGTGCGCAATGTGTACGGGCGTAGCGGACAATTGACGTCGGCGTCAAATTCGAGAATTCGCTTAGTTTTGGGGGTAAGCTTTGAAGGAAAAGAGGTAATCCGAGCTACGAAAGCAATTTTCATTCGCTCCGGGGTCGTCCCTCTGCGTTAGGCTAAGTGCTAGTGACATTCCGTCGTGCCTCCGGAGTCCATTGCGCAGTTTTTTGAAGGCATGTTCACAGTTCAGCCATACTAAGTTGGGTGTCAGTTGCAAGAGACCTTGATGGTACGGTGACAACGGTCAGTGTGCAGAGGACTTCTGCGAGCTTGAACAATATTACAGCACATTATCTGACGTGACCCATTTAGGTGTTGTGATATCTTGGGGAACGGGTTGTCTGTTCACGTGTTTCGTATCTCATGCTTTTGCGAAACGTTCTAAATCCATGTCACATATCATGTTTATGGTTAGTCGGTCATGCCCTGCGTTCTTACAGGAGTAATCGCTGTTACAGTATGCGCTTTGGGCTGGGTGTCAGACTCGGTACTCAAAGTCGCCGTTGCACTTTTTCATCGGGACACAACGCCGAGTTTGACACCTATTTGAGGCCGCGGTCGTAGTTTGCAACCTTTCGTGGAGTAGATCGTACGATCGCAGGATCGGAAGTGTGATCCCTATTCATTCTACCCCAAGGCTGCAAGGCAGTCGCAGGGTATGACAAGTACGCGAGGTGAACCAGCTCACAAAAGCTGTACTATATCTCGAAGTCTTATTAGGCGTGTCTATTTGTCTGACGTGGCTGCTGTCGCACTTGATAGAAGTTGCGCGGTTAAGTTGCTTCCAGCATGGGATAGTAGGCCAGTCGGGGGGGGGCACCGCTGATCATGAATGCGCATGGAGTTCCCGCAGGAAAGAATGTTTTGCGCTGCGAAACGCGAAAAGTTGCTTTCTCTCCAAGCGACCCCACCCGTATTTTACTGCCGAAAAAGCCCAAGGCGCAGATGTGTGACCACCCTCAAACAGGTTGTAACCGTATTGAAGTGGGGATACGTGAGCCACGGGGAATAATTTCAATTCAGGAGGTAGGGGGAGCGTTGGCCACTTTTGGTGTTGCAAAAGTTTGAGCGTGTGAGGTTTATGTGGCCATGAATTGCTATTCAGGAAGAGTGCAGTCTTATTTCTGTTATTCGTAGAACTAGGGCTGTATCTGGTTTCCACAGCTTTATTCTTATGCTTGTCATTTGTTGATTTAGTTGCGATTTACCGTCACTATGTAGTGCTGTTTTAGCCATCTCAATCTTGTTTTGACCTATTTTGTTCTCTAGCTCAGCACTTCAGGTAATCCGGAAGGATCATGAAGCTGGTCGAGTCCAACGATACGGTCGATTTCCCTGATGGTGTGACATTTACCGTCAAGAACCGCGTGGTTCATGTTACCGGACCTCGTGGAACCCTCAAGCGCGACTTCCGCCATCTTCACATGGAGGTGAGTCAACGGCAAGACTTTTCTTTTTTAGGCACTATCCACTATTACAACCCCAAAATCTCAAAATTTTATTTTTCGTCGAAACTTCGCCTATAGGGGTAATTCGATGCCCTGATTACGAAAATGACATTCATTTTTGGCGTTGGCGCCATCTGGCGCCAGTTGGCGCCACCTTGTCACGACACTGTTTTCACCAAAATTCGCTGTAAACTTGTATAGGGGTTATTTGGGTCCTGATTACGAATATGACATTCGTTTTTGGCATTTGCGCTGTTTCAACGCATATTTTCCATTCTCCTGGGCTCTCTC